TATCATGCTCAGCCTTCATTTGGGTTTCAGTAATTCCTCTCAGTTACAATACCCTTGATCACGCCCTACCAGTTATGGCATTTTTATCATCTATTGAATGAGCTTTACCCAGAGAGGAGGAGTTCATTGTCATGGCTTTTACACTAAAGAGACAAGAAGATGCATATTCTGCATGAACTGCTCAAACACAAAGTTCTTACAGAACAACTTCATTAAAGGTTCCCCAGAAGACAGAGTGGCTGTCTCTGTCGTGGGAAGAAAAGAAATGGCTCTTTCCTGGGTAAATCACATTATTTCTGAGTAATTGGTAGCCAAGGGTACATGTGATGAATGTTTGCTGGTGTCACTACATGGGGAGAAAAGTATTGGTGGAAAGATAGTCTTGTACATGCAAGTTTATATTTGTACACAGGCAGTCTCTGAGTAAGGAATGCCTGACTTATGTGCAATTCAAGGTTAAGAGCAACCTCCGTACATACTAAGGTTTATGATAACAAATGATTGCTTTGTGATGTCTATGAGGGAATTATCATTATTAGTGTATTTTATGTTAAAGATATTTTTAGTGTATCCAGAAATACTTCTTCAATGTGTGTATGTGTGCTTACAAAAGTATGCTATTTATTATTATATGTTAACAGTTTATATCCAATTGCTCTGATTTATGTGCAAATCCAACTTGCACATTCAATCGGATGTGCACACAGATTTAGAAATGAAACTGATTTGTAACCTGGGCACTGGCACTATGGAAGGATAGAATGATAACAGTGGTTGTGCTGCTGTGTTTCACCATGGTTTGGGAAAACTGACAGCATTAAGGTAAAGCTAGAATAGTATTTGCTTATGTTTGAGCAAATGTTAATAGAATAAATCTCATGATTTGGAAGACACTTAGAGATATCTAGATGGGCAATTAAGTATTTTAATAATCGGAAAGTTATGGTTTACAATATTCATAAAACTTCCCCAACCTGTTGTTAACAGGTAGATCTCTATTAGGACATGAAGAGATGTTAACAAGGCCCTCGGAAACATTTATTTAAATAAATGCTTTAG